CTAATATTTACAAACTATGTAATGTATATATGTTTATGTTAAATACAGTACTAAATTATATACAAAATAACATAAGAAATATACTACAAAATATACGTAATACATACTCACATATATAAATAAATACACATATATAATTACATATACATACATATATATATACATACATACATATAAATATAAATATTAACACTGTATTTGTACCTTACCATATACGAGCAACTATCGTCGAGGGCGCTGTGAATGCTGAGGATTGAAACCATAGAAGGTGCAACTTACCTGAAACGATTAGAAATACAAGAGTAAATAAAGAATTCAAGAGATAATACAAGCAATGCTGTATCTTAAAACAGACAATAAAATTCCTATAAAAAATATTCAAATATAATCAAATCATCTTTATTTGCATAAATAAGGTAAATAAAGTTTTCCAATGCAAGTACATATAAGTATTTCAACTTATCGGCATGCAAATATTTCACAAATTAATATATTTAATACAAACGTAATCAAAAATGCTATTAAACAGTAAATCATAACACAATTTTAAATATCTTTCAATTAATTGTATCATTCTTGCTACAATGTCGGAACATTGTTCTAGCTAATAACAGGCATATTGGTATGAACTATAATCCATTTAATATGATCGGAATAGCTTTGTCGATAGTGAGCATGTCTCTTGCATCAAAAAGTATTGGTTCGATACCAGCTGCGGTAAAAATAATGTGCGATGGACAATATTATTATTTTTTTTACTGTCTGAGTATTTGTTACATTTATCATATATTTATTTATTTATTTATTTACACACTTTTTGTACTAACTGGTACAAACGGCGGGCTTAATGCCATAAGGCATTTTCTACCAGCCAACCGGAAAGTTAGTGAAAGAGAAGTGTAGGTGCTAGCTATATAAGGATTATATAATATGTATACATACATTATGATAACAATTATTAACTTACAACAATAAATATTATAATAAGTAAATATATATATATATATATATATATATATATATATATATATATATATATATATATATATACGTACATAAAACGGAAATATCTATCAAACGTAATCCATACTACTGATCATAAGACGACGAATTAAAATATTCCTTAACTTTAGCTTTAAAATAAATTTATTCGGTGATTTTCGAATTTCACGAGGAAGGGCGTTCCAGAGTCGAGCAGCTGTAACAGTGAAGGATTTAGAGAGAAAACCGGTACTGTGAGAAGGAATAAGCAACGTAAGATTACCAGCAGATCGAAGATTGCAGCAATAAGAGGTACCCAGGTACTGAAATTTAGACTTCAGATACGCTGCGGCAAAAGGATCGTTAATGATACTATAAAGCGTACAGAGGATCCGAAGATTCCTCCGTTGGGAAATATTCAACCAGTTTAGTTGAGAGCGATGTGATGAAATATGGTCAAACTTTTGAACACCATAAATGAAGCGAATACATTGATTAAGGAGGCGATCCAATTTGCTAAGAACCTCCATGTTTGCATCTGAGTAACACACATCAGCGTAATCGAGATGTGGAAGTGATTGAACTAAAAGTTTTTTAGTATAAGGTGGTAAGAAATTTTTAAATCTATATAATTGTCTCAAGTTGGAATAAACTTTACCGCTGACTTCATTAACTTGCGCTCGCCAGCTGAGCGAGGAATCAATAGTTAACCCAAGATTCTTGACTTTTGGTGAAAAGGGAATGACTTGATCATTGTACATAACGGGCATCACGCAATTATAATCTATTTTGCATAACTGGCGTTCGCTCCCTAGAATTATGGCTTGGCATTTGGTGGGATTTACAGTAACACCGTACTTGTTCGACCAGTTGAAAATATGCTTGAGATCAGAGTAAATGCGCTGCTTCAGCCTGGGCATACAGCTGCAGGTCGTCGGCATACAGATGGTAAGAGGAGCGAAGATTACATGTAACAGAATTTATGAAAAATGAAAAAAGTATTGGTGACAGTATTCCGCCTTGCGGAACACCGGTGGCCAGATCGCACCAATTGGAGAACTTTCCATCGACACGAACCGCCTGCCGGCGACCACGAAGATAAGAACAGAACCAATTCAGTGCTGAGGATGAAAATCCTAGGTGAGATAAGATGGCAAGAAGGATGTCATGGTCAACAGCATTAAAAGCGTTGGAGAAGTCGATCAGTACTAATACTGTCACCCTGCCATCCCCCATACCATGTCGCACATCCTCGGTAACCGCTAATAGAGCAGTAGTGGTACTATGACCCGGCCGAAAGCCCGATTGGAACTTATTCAACAGGTTGTTCTTATGAGCGAAGGTGCAAACTTGTTTAAAAACAATAGTCTCTAAAGTTTTTGATAAAAACGGCAAGATAGAAATAGGCCGGAAATGATTCGGTGAACTGGGTTTACTAATTTTGGGAAGCGGGATAACAAAAGCATTACGCCAACAGATAGGAAATTCCATCGAATATTCCATATATCTATTCCATAGATAGCATCGAATGATTAATAATAAATGTGAGAATGGGTACAATCTGGTCCAAAACATGAAATATCATGACACGGCCTATTTCATCACAACCTACTGCCTTAGATTTAATCTGATGTAAAACCTTACATACCTCATCCTCAGCGACCGAAGAAAAAGAGAATGTATCAGAGTGAGTTGAGGCCATGGAAGATATTTCAAGAAGAGTACTAGCTTTTTGAGATGGCAATACAGAAGATGAGGAAAAGTGAGCATTAAGTTCGCTTAATAAGGGCATATCAATACTAGGCTGTGTTTTGCAACTTGCAAACCCAAGAGAGTGAATAAACTTCCATGTCTCTGATTGAGAAGCAGTTAGTAAGAAGTTGTGAAAATGTCGGCGTTTAGCAGACCTCACCATCTGATTGCAACGATTCCTGGCTTTTTTGAATGCAGCCCAGTTTTGAGCACTACGACATGATTTATAAGAAACAAACGCTCTGTTACGTCTATTCATTGCCAACCGAACATCGTTATTCATCCAAGGCGCAGGGGGTCTCTTCATGACAACTTCGTGCAATGGTGCAAGTTTGTTAAAGATATCTATTATTTTTGAGCTGAAAACTGAAACCATGTCAGAAACTGTACCCAATGTGGTTACCGGTGACCAGTCGATCAAGGAAAACTCATTTATTAACCTGCTCCTATCCAAGTTTGCCAAACTGCGTACTGCTACCCTGCGGGCCACCCGTTTCGGAGGCCTGATTTTGTATGAGACGTAAAGCAGATCGTGATTGGAGAAACCCGGAGCCGGGAGTTGGCCGTGATTAATAATATTTTTAGGGCAAGATGTTATAATTAAGTCAATCCATGAGTCGGCTGTGGCAAAATTTGTATGCGTAGGCCCAAGAGGAAGAAGAGAACAATTAGTAGACTCCAGGATTGAATGTAATTTACGCGAGTGGTAAGTGTCTTTCATTAAGTTGGTGTTAAAGTCTCCCATAATTAGGAAATGTGTGTACTCGGAGCAAAGAGATTCGAGAATATTTTCCAAACTGGAGAAATAGTTAATAGAGGGGGGAGAGTAAGCAACTCCGAGTAACGCCTTAATTCCCCTTAAATTAACTTCGAGGAACAGTGACTCCATATCGTCACTTAGGGGGTTCGAGGCAAACATCATTTTATATGTAATGTCGCAACGAAGGTAGATACAAACATCCCCACCGCGTTTTTTTACCCGATCGTTTCTCACATCTCACGTTTATCATACACAAAAATATTTTTATGTAAGTTTTTCAATTACCTAGTTACTCAATGTACTACAAGCCTTGCTTACTTTGGGGGCTGAATAATATTGTGTGAACATTTATTTTATTTATTAGCAAAAAAGACTCTAAAGCAAAAATTTGATACAAACATTGTATATCTCGGAAACTATTGCATTCTTGTTGCAACAAGGAGCGTGTCTTCCTCCGAATCGATATATGCAATAAGGATCAAAGTGTACGTGTTTATAAGACAGGGTACATATTAAATTTCCATTTGCACCGTATTCCAGTGCATTAGAGAACATTGCTGCAATGTTCGTGGTCGTTCCATTCTGCGGTGAGTAGCTGCGAAGTAAGGTTAACTGCAATTGAATTTGTAAAGACCTCGCCTGAAATAGTAGTCTTGGTTTTCAATAGCAATTAGCGACCTCATTTGAGCTTTACGGTTTATACAGCACAGTTCTTGATTTAATCTATTTATTTAGTGCAAAGTCCGGGGGCACGTTTAAATTTATGAAGTTTTATCTTTAGTTTCAGTCGATGAACTGAAGATAGAATTTGAAATGTGATTTTTTCTTCTTTGTAAATAAATTGACGAAAACTTTCGGCACGGCGAGATTCAAACCTTCTTCTTCCTGGTAACGCGCCTAGACACTTTACAATCTAAGCTAAACACTAAGCTTTTATAATATGGCACTTTATAATATGGCCGATGATCTAGAAGTACGAAAATCTTGACATCTATAATCTTTATTGTTTTTTTTAGCAATATTCATAAATACTAATACACTCCAGTGATGATTAGCTTCAACTTATTTATTTTTCGTTTTTTTTTATTTCTGCTGTTAAGACCTTGCTTTTTGGCATATTTCGTGATTCTAGGTCAAAGGGGAACGACCATATAGATTTTCGACCCAAAACCTATAGGGTACTTCCGGTTGACCTAGAATTGTCAATTTTGGTCACTTTTATCGTGTTGACTCAAGACCTTGATTTTTATACATCTAATATGGACCCAGTATCTGGTATAAATTTCAACTTACTAGGTCCGCCCTTTCCGGAGAAAATCAGTGGTGACACACGGACAGACAGACGTACAAGAGAGTGATCGTTTCCTTTTAAGGTACGGAATCCTAAAAACACGAAGAAAAAACACCTTTTGGAAATAATATAAATATAGATGCGCTTCTTAAATGCGTTGGTCTATATAGAATTTTACTGCGATCCAGACACATATACACGGGTATTACATTATCACCTGCATCCTGCGTCCAATCCCGCCAGAATTGTACGTCCATCTGAGCCGGATATTCGGTGCGGGTTGCGGTCAACGAGGCGGTCGCATAAATTCGCCTCGATGTCCCGTCCTAATAAGGCGGTGGGCACATTGGCACTAAATGCAGGCGTCAAATCAATTTTCTCACAGAGCCAAGCGCTCCTTTCTAATTTGTTCTGGATGTAGAGATGCATGTTGTCGCCCGGTAGACGTGGGCAGAAAACATGTATTACCATTTTAACCGACTTCAAAAAAAGGAGGAGGTTTCTCAATTCGTATATTATAATTTTTTTTTTATGTGTGTTCGGGGATAACTTCGTCATTTGTGAACCGATTTTAATGATTTTTGTTGATTTTTTGTATTGATTTTTGTTGGAAAAGAGATATTCTCAGGGCGGTACCATGATAAGGAAACCCAGATCTGATGATCGCATCCCAGAGAAATCGAGGGCAATCCACAAATGTAATAGGCGTTGAAAATGTTGTTTTGTTTTCTGTTTGAATTCGATTGTTTTTTGTTCAAAATTATTTACGGAACACTTTATTAGACAACTCTCAAATCTATGCGAACGTACACTAAGATATCAACCTTGTCTTATTCTCCCCAAACGAGCTGTGAGAAAAGTTTCTTTAAGTTTGTGTACTGTGCGTAACTAATTTCTGTTTATCTTGATATAAGTGCAAAATTAGATTTATTCATATTGGCTGTGTGTGACATCCGAACTGATGCGTTGTAATAAGCATATACAGATGGTACGGAACTTAAAACGCAAGTGAATGTTCTTCTATGAGCGAACACAATACATTTGATTCGACATAATGTGGCACGGCCCTAACATCTAGCCTATCCGGCGTCGGACGTCCGTCACGCCTGGAGATTTACCGACGCGCTAATCTGGTTAGCGTTGCGGCCGTGTCCACGGATTCCGGCAAATTATTACGCCCACAATGCGACCGACTCGACGCGGCAGATTTGCGGACGGAGTCCAACGGCGTCGGCCGTAGATGGTGTTAGTCAAATATGAAATAGAATTGGAGAGACGAATATACATTTCCCATGTGATCCTCTTGTACTCTCTTCAATATCAACTATGTCTCTTTTGGATTGGATATTTTACAAAAAAAAAAACCGCCCAAGTGCGAGTCGGGCTCACGCACGAAGAGTCCCGTACCATTATATAAAAAATAATGACGGAGGGTTGAGACAAACATAAAAAAAATTACAACCGAATTGAGAAACTGCTCTTTTTTTGAAGTCGGTAGAAAAATATCAAAAACAAACACAAAGACCAAAACGTAGTCCTTATATTTTAGGCTAGGTATCAATGTAAACACATTTTATATTGTTCATAATACTCACCTTATGACGCGAATATAATTATTTGATACCAGAACTGCATATTTTGAAAACACCAAAATACCTAATGTATAATAATCATAATCAATATATGAATAATAATCATAATAAATTAAGATACAAATTAGCATGTGCCGCGTTCATACATAACACATGTCGGACCTAAGCTGAGACCAATCCTGGTCTCAACAGTTACACCACAACTCTTGGACTATGAATCGGTTGATAGTAAAAACCTACATAAACCACTAAAATTAAGTTTACTAGGTTTGCATTTAATTTATACGGCGAAGTTTATAATATATTATTTCTAAATAAAGAAATTGTATGAAATAAGAATCTCCTCCGGTAAACGAAAATGTGTATGGTTTCCAAAATTATAATTAGATATTGACTGGATTGCTGCCGGAAATAATCACGTAATTAAGCGAAATTATTAACTAACAAATTCCTTTTGAAGAAGTGTTGTTTGTAAAAAAAAAAAAACTTCAAACCACCAGAACCAAAGACGTTTCAGCGTTCGAGAGATCTCTCATTACTCATCTCATTTATTCATCTTTACCTTTGAATTCTTATTCTTACGCGCAATAGGGAGTACAGTCGAGCGCCCAAGTTGCTACAGTCAGCGGCCGATCAAACGACCACACGCCCTCAGAAGTCCCAGACACCCTTTGATGTCGCAGCGAAGGAAATCGCCCATTCGGGGTAGGACGCGATTAACGTCGATACTTTGAGGCATCGCAATCCATAAACGTCACCAGTTCAACGGCCCTTGTCTCAGATCATGAACAGAATCACAAGGGTTTCGCTGAAATTTCCATCCGGTTTATAAACTAAAGACCCGTCAAATGGCCCGTCAATTGATACGGGCGGAAAGCGCAGCTACCGATAATACTACAAGGCTTGCCGTCGACTTTGCCCGCGCGTTTTACTAACACCCTATCTGAAATAAAAAAATATAGGGCTCATCTCTACATTTAACTCGAAACATTAAAATTTAGAGAAAATAAAAAAAAACTGGACAAATGCGAGCCATATTAACTATAAAAACGGCAAAAAAATCATGTCTATTGTATGGGAGCCCCGTTCAATTTTAGATTTTAATTTCATAAATACATCATCTGTGAAAATTTCAACTGTCTAATTATCATGAGATACATGGTGACAGACGGACAGACAGACAAACTACGGAGTCTTAGTAATAGGGTCCCGTTTTACCCTTTGGGTATGAAACTCTAAAAACGGACAAAAAGTTTTTCGTCGCACGACTTGGGGGGCAGAGATAAGCACTATAAAAATTTCAATTTAAAATATCAATGGCAAGATCTTTTGTTAAAATTAAAGTCGAAAACCGATATTTGAAATAGTTTTTCTGCTGTAAAGTATAAAATGGTAAAATGGGTGCGCCAAGCATTGCTTGAAATGCGAAGACAGTGTAGATAATATACGTTGAGATTTCCTTCGGTGTGGCGATCCAAAAACATCCGCTTAGCTTAGTGGATAAAGCGTCTGGGCGCGAGTCCGGAAGACGTGGTTTCGATTCCCCGCAGCGGCGAAAAATTTTTCGTTCATTTTTTCTCCAAATTTTAACACCCTATCTGTTAATACCACGTATAGGCTATAATCTAGGCTAAATATAGGCTCGAATCCCTTCAGCTTTTAATGCATCTCAAGGACTCTCTTGTTTTATACGAGACTTTGATTATAGATAATTTTAACTCTTAATTTATCCTACACTTTACTAAAACTATAGCGAATACTGTCTTATTATAGTAAAATCTAATAGACTGGTCTGGACTGATACTAGGATTTACAACTAACTTATTAATATGTTTTAATGAATATTGATGTTCTTCTCTAAAGATATCTTGTCTGTACCGTGACTTTAAATTAAACTCGATAAAATCCGTTAACTAGTTTTAATAATAACAGGTCTTATTAAACATCAATTAATTAGGAGTTAATTTTTATTGGTCCTATCTTCAAACGTTATTTAGTTTGAGTTAATTTTTAAAATAAACTTTGGATTACGTAAATTGTTTACTGTGAATTTTTATTGGCCCTATCTAGAAAAAAGCCTACAAACGTTCGCTTTTTTTGTGACGTGTAGTTTGCCGTTAGCCCGGCGGCTTTGACAGCTTCGGCGAGGTCCGCGGGCAGACGACCCACGGACTCGGGAGGACAACGTAGCTAGCTGGTGCACGTTCGCTAATTTAAGTTTAGTTTTACGATAAACTTTGTTCTTTTAATGTTGATTAATTGCTACTGTATAAATAGACTAGTAGATACCGATGAAATATTATTCGAAGTTTCTGTTTTGAATCCCAGAGGCGTGTAACGTCAACATGAACTAAAGTTTCTCAAATTTTTCAAGTGTGAAAATAGCTGTTTCACATTCGCGACACACTCGTATATGTCATTATAGGCTAGAGCGTCTGGACGCGTACTCGTCCAGAAGGCTCGAACCCTTGCAGCAGAGAAAAACTTTCAAACCCATTTTTTTTAGTGAGAGGGTGGCAAACGACGTTTTTTTTATGGGAGAAAGTGGTAAACGAGCTGGCGGGCGGTTCACCTGATGTTAAGTGATAACCGCCGCCCACGGACATTTGCAACACCGGTTGCAGATGTGTTACCAATTTTTAATAAAGTGGACCCATGCTACCTCACTCACCAGACGAAGCGCAGAAGTGTAACACTTCCATTTCGCGCCGGTCTTCTGTGAGGTCGTGGTACTCACCCGGACGGACCTGCCCGTTGGTGCAACAGCGAAGACTGTTGCGTGGCCACACCACAGTTATCTACTCGTTCACTCTTTCCTGTGTGCGTGTGTGTGTATGTGTGTGTGAGCTAAACGTATACTAGTCGGTCGTGTTCAATCACAGCCGAACGCGACCGCGGATGGCCGCTCATCGCTAATTGCATTACACGGCACAAGCCCCATGCTGATTGCGATACGCGACCGCGAACGATCCCGCTGTTATTAGATAGTTATTACTGCGATAGTCCGCCTGGTGGCGTTTGGCATTCGAGCCTACATTGGCTTACACCCGATACGCATATAGTCTGTGGTCTGATCACATTTATACACACATATAGTCAGTTCGATCTTGATTTATGATTATTGGTGATTATTAAAACTAAGGCTAACTACAGTTTACCGACAAGCGAGTACTCAAGTATGACGCTTAGAAAAGGATTGTATGCGAAGCAGATGACAAAATGTTAAAAAATTTCGACAAATCCGACCGGTGCGATAAAGTCACTACCTATCCTCGAATGCAATTATTCGACGTGAGTGAGGTTTTGAGAACTAATATTTTGGTCGGATTACTTAGTTACTTAGTTTTCATTATTCGGCTTCTTAAGTACGGATATCCAAGAAAATCTGATAAACTCGGTTACGAGCGAAAGCTGTAATAAATGCGCTTGAGGTAGGGGTGTTTCGTGAGGGGTGATGTGCTAGTTGCACCGGCACAGTACCATTTAACCGGGCCGGGTGGCCTGGCACCCGTGAAGAGGAGGCCTAAAAAGGCCATATTCGTCCCGGGGTCGCGGAAGATTGCGTCTTCGTGTTCACGTGTCCCAAGAGGCAGGTGCAACGTGGGTTTTTAGTGGGTACCCGTTTCTGACTGAGACTCCCACATACCCCTCCCTGCCCCTCACCCGATCCGGTGGCAGGGGATCCCGAAGTTAGCAACGGTTCCCTGTGCCGACATAAAAGCAATTAGCACAATATTTTTAAAAAGGTATTTCTAAAAAGGATGAAGCAAAAGGGAATAGCAGGGGACTCTCGCCGCGCTCAATTTTCGCCGCCCGATAAGTGTTCGCGGAATCGTA